AGAGCCTTATATACTAGTCCCCCCCCGAGAGTGGCACATTAAAATATTCATCCATCGTCTCCTTTCTCTACGGCCAATCCTTGACAAGAATCGACGGTCTCGACTCAAGGAACTTGTCACTAAACCGCTTCGTACCATCATGCCAGTGACTGAAGACCGAGAAACGCTCAAAAACCGCTGCTAATCGTTTTCGACGGGCTAGATGAATACAGGGACAAGTAGGCCCAGTACGAGCTTATCGAGCTCATCAGTACCCATGCTCAGCAGGTGGACAAATTCCCACTTGGATGGCTGATTTGCAGTCGTCCTGAGTGGCACCCCGACCACGCTTTCAAATTCAGACTTCGAAGTTGTATGTGGGTGCTAAGAGCTGACACCGAGGCTCGGCAAGACATCCGGCGTCTCCTTGAGACCGGATTTGACAAGGTTCAAAGTAAGTACAAGGATCGCCTTCCTACTGGCTGGCCGTCCGAATGCCATCTCCACCGTATCCCGGCCGTGGTCATATCGCTTCGCTTATCCTGGATCTCAGCTCTCGTAAACTTCCGTTTGAACCTTCGGCCTAAATAGTTCTTCCACATATATATCCTAGTGAAAGTTGGTCGTAATTCTAGTGCGCCAATTGTTTTCTTCTCTGCTCTTAATCGAGGATTTCATAGATACCTATGGCGAAATCCTCGGACAAGTCGATCTCGCTCTTCAGATGCGTATTCGTGACCCTGACTCGCCGCTGTCGCAGATCATCGCCCTTTCCCTTTCTTATCATGCCCGAAGATCCTTGACACAGGCATTCCTGTTGTCATCACCTGTGAACCTTCTGTAGATGATTGAATTAACCATCAACGGCGGTCTGAAATCGAGTAAGCGGCGACTGTTTCAACAGATCCACATCTTTTGGAACTATCAATGATTGCCATAAATGGCGAAACTCCTTCTCTACGCGCCCTTTGCTCGACTCATCCTTGTTCTAGACCCTTCGGAACTGACCGTCTTTGAAATTTGATGGGGTCCACATTACGGGCACTGTACACTTTTTCGGGTTCCTCGATTGTTTGGGCTGCTTCCTTTTTATGATTCTTTTGAGGTGCGAGCGGACATTCAGCCAGCCTTGTGTGTTTGGATTTGCGTATTAGTTAGGGAGGTTACTTTGTTACGCGAAGTTCAGTTCAGCTATGTGTGGGTTAGATGCGTCGTTAGCGTGCTGGAATGCCCGGGGTGCGGAGTTGGTTACCCTGAGATAGTTCGCAGCGTAGATGCGCGGTGTGTCAACATAGATGCCCGTGCCCGGTTGCAAGTAAGTGTAAGAGATCTACAATACAGATATAGATCGGTGAGTGGTAAGTGAACCGGTGCATAGGATACATGCACTGGATGTTGGCTGTTTCTTCTTGAGAGGCTTCTAGTGCGCATACGTTGTCTGAATTGTGAAGTGTTGATGGGGGTAGCTGTGGTTCCATGAAGTACGGCTCTGTCTGTATATGGCGGCGACTGCGAGTTTGGACATGGTGACGACATTGGTGGAAGGTGTGGAGTTTGTTGCGTTCGGTGTGTTTAACTACAAGTCTATGGGAAAACAGATAGGAATACATTCTGGAGAATCTAATACCCCCTCTCCGCAGTATGCGCTAGCACCAGGATGGAGGATCCGCCATAATATAAGGGTTCTGACAATAGTATGCTGCAAGGTGTTGGGTGGTCTAAGATCCTGTCGGGGTTTGGCGACATCTGCCACTGGTCCCTCATCCTCTGTCTGCTCAACTAACTGCCAGGATACTGGGGACAGGATAAGGTGTGCTACGACAGGGAGTCTATGCAGGAATTTTGAAGATTGATGTGCTGCTAGGAAGAGGGATGGGGGTGGTAAGCGGGGCGTTGGTGAAACTCCTCATCCAGCGGCCTGTGGCGCGCTAAATATAAATATATCATGAGTGAACTCCAGCCGTGGGAGTGTGGGCCTGAATGGATTTGGGCACTACTTAGTCCAAATCCCTGGGCGGTGAAGTCGAGGAGGAACGCGGCGGGTCACCCAAGGCGCGTCCTTAGTCGATCACCTGAGCTGGAGTTCAATAGAAAAGGGATGGGAGAGTTGGGTTTTAATAAAGCGAGAGTTGAGGCGAAGGCTCAGACCCGAAGCACATGAGGTCGAGGCAGGAGACCTCGACAAAGAAAAAGAAAGAGAATTCCGGGCCTCTCCCTTACCAGATACACACATACTGTCCTAGCAGGATGAAAGCGGCTCATAAGACCCGGGGATGGGTTTGCTTTTGCAGCTGACGTGGTTCGGCTACTGGCGCACCAAGACATTGGACACAGTAGTCTTGGGCGGAGTCAGTAGCAAATTTAGATACATAGGGGGCACATGACATGTGGCATTTTTGTATTGTCCTTCTCCTTTGCACAATATCTATACTTTCTGCACGATTAGTCTAACGGGTTGCCCTTTGGCTTGCTTGTAGTTCTATCAATCGAGTGAAGCCTGTACGCACCATCAGGAAAAGTTGAGCATAAATACAACAGCCAACGCACTGGTGTAATCAACTTTCAGTGAGATATATGCGTGAGCGACCTTTCCAAGCCGAAGGTTTAGTGTAAACGGAAATTCGGGGGCGTTAATGTCTGGGATAAATGAAGCGATATAATCACGAGGGGAGTGTGTTTCATGCTCCGCTTGGATCCATTTGGATATCGAAGGCTGCTCTTGGGAATTGTCTCGAATGACAGTGATGAGAGATTTGTTGCGGATGCTTCCCTGCATTCCATGCGCCATCAAATTAGTGAGAGATCCAGATCGTCTAATTGCTCAACTCACGAGGGAGTGCAGCCACCGGAGAAATTCTGCCAAGTCGACGTGGCCAGAAGTGACAATGAACATCCTTTTTTTCCTGGTTTCTATGTGTGTAGACGTCAAACGACTAAAGTCAAAGCTCTCAAGCTGATTGATGATGTCGTCGGATAGCTCGCGACAAGACCGCCACACATTATCCGCAGAGAATTTCACCAAAGCCTTGGTGGATGGTGACCCATCTAGAAATATATTAGGATTAGCGACAAAGACTGGGATGGCTGAGGTTACTCGCGCACCGTCGCTCTCTATACAACGAAGACACTGAAGAGTAAAATCGTAGTCTGCATCTCGTTTGTTCAAACAGAACTTGCGAGAACGATTGGGATCTCTGAGGAAATCAGAAAATGCCGCATGGTAAATGTGAAGCGGGCTTTTATTGGATTCCTCTACTGGGGGTACGTAGATCACAGAGTGCAGGTTTTGAAGTGACCGGCGAAATGTGATAAGGTCGATATTGAGGAACTTGGCGTCATCGTTAATAGAGAAATTGTCGTCATGATGAAAAATGAAGAATCCAAGGATGCGCATCGTTATGGCAAGAATATTGTTAGGCACATCAGAAAGAATCCGGTGGTAGAGGGTATCAAGAGCGTGCAGCGGATTCATCACACCAACGATATCACCGCCGTCAAGAAATTTCTTGCAAGCAGTGAGTTGGCTGCATGGGTTGCTATACTGATCGTCGCCGATAAATCTGAGGATAGAGGATGCGAAGCCCAGGTGACCGGATGCCGCCACGGCAATGCGACAAAGGTCATCTTTGGGGGGCCAACCAGTGGGGAGACGATCCTTGTACTTGTTACAAATCTTCGCAAATTCGGCTTCAAGGAGACACCGGACGTCTTCCTGAGCCTCTGTGTCACCAATCTTGAGCTCTTGACGCTCGCATAGAACTTCAGAATCCGTATTTGAAAGTGTGTTTTGGAGGTGCCACTCGGGACGACTGCAAATCATCCATCGTAGCGGGAACTCGCCCACCTGCCGGACATGGGCGCCGATGAGATCAATAAACTCGACCTGGGCCTCCTTGTCCTTGCATTCGTCCAGCCCATCGAGAATGATCAACAGCGGTTCTCGAACGGTGTCTGGGCATTCAGTCATGAGGATGCGGAATGGTTCAATCATGAGTTTTCTGAACTGAACCTGTCGATTCTTGTCGAGGATCAGCGGATCATCTATGAGACGCTGGGTGACAATGTGCTTGTACTGGCGGTGTCTGGTTGCGAGTTGGTAGACAAGAGTTGGGATTACCCAGTCGGGATCATCCAGTTGATTCGGCCGAGAGAAGAAAAAACTGGCGCCAAATCTCTCCATCTCATCAAATTCTTCAGCAACGGTTTGTGCGACAGCTGATTTTCCAACTGCAGCGGGCCCCAATACCCACAACATCCTTCCATTTCTTCCATCACCCACTCCCCACTGGCCAATATGACTCCTCAAGCTTTTGCGGGTGTCGGGATGACATCTAGGCGGGTAAGTCCGAGCAGAGGAATCATGTATGGCAGCGGGCTTCCCCTTCTCAATGAGGCGCTTGATGATAGGGTCGATACCGGTGTTGTCCACGGTTACATTCCATTGGACCGATTGGTCTATTGCAGGCAAAACCTGGCCAATCGTGAAATGGTGAGCACCTGCAAAGGCACCTGAGGCCGTTGCGACAATTGGAGCTGAGGCTGGTTGACTTCAAGCAATAGATAAAGTTGGTGACGGTACAACTAACCTTGATATGGAACCATGTTTCTAGGATCGGGAACACGAACATTACTACTTGTGGTGGTGTCATGAATGATGGGTGGTGGCTGTAGTGAGACTGCTGCTGCTGGTGTCCGGTTAAGAAGCTGGCGTAAATGTAATGGTGGGTGATACCTACATGTGTTTGGGACGGTATTTTCGGGATTGTTGATGACACTTTGAACCTGGGTTGGTGGTTCTGGTGTAGCAGGATCGGTTGTGACCTCTGGCCGACCAAGATTCACAGTTTCGGGTTGCTTTTCACTCTGCCCTTGATGCGTTGGGGCACGAGAAAAGTAAGATTTGAGTGATTCGAGAAACGGCATTGGTACGAGAGCAAGATGCTAGGCGCCTAAGTTGTGGAACCTGCCAGTGATGGTCCATGGCATGTCACCGTGAGAAGGTCTATTTTTTGTATCTGAAAGAGTAAATCACTGATAGAGTGGCAGACAAGGCAGTTGGGACGCCGCTCTGCCAGAGATTATGAACTGTTAAAGAATCAGGATCAGAGCAGCCGAGCACATCTGTCCAAGGGCCAAGACGCTGGTGGTTATAATTGTGCCACCACCTGTAGAGTGACTGGTATCGGCTGCACGCCCGTCCGCCACGCCGAGAGCGTCAAGCGGATGGCCAGCACAGCCGATGCCGCGTCCCCTGCAATCCGCACCCTTATTCAGGTGCACGAAAATGAATCTGCCTGCACCAAGACAACAACCCCTTCGGCAAGTTTGAACTTTCTGGTGTTCCTCAAGTTGGGGTCACCTTCGACAGTGGTCCCAACGGTATCTCGAACATTTCTGCTTCTGGCAAGACTATGGGCAAGTCGAGTGCTATCACCAATGACAAAGCCTGCCCCAGGAGATTGAGCCCATGATTTCCGCGGCCGAGATATAGGCAAGCCTCATGGCACATGTGTCTAGTGTTTGGACGAGGTGTCATTAATCTACAGCTGAGGGTGGCACTGCTTCTGCTCGTACCCCCTCCAGGAGCAGCCTCGAGTCATACACCCACAACCTCTCTAACTCGATCATTGACGATGGTCTCTCTGGCGAGTTCGACCCCACCGACAAGACCAAGCTCGAGACTACCATAAATGAGGCCATCTCATGGCTTGGCAGCTCGCAGGAGGCTTTCAGGGAGGAGTACGATGAGAAGCGGAAGGAGCTCGAGGACACCGATTGCCGTTAGATGTAGCTGAGGGGGGAGTATTGAGGTACGGTCTCTCACCAAGTTGATGCATAGATTGAAGAAATGTTAGCGATTAATCCATATTTTGGGATGTTGTAACTCACCTCCGGACAGGTCCACGACCTGGGTGAATACAACCTGTTGGCTGCACCAAATGTTGAGATATGCACGACCCAGATAGTATGAAAATACACACCCAATGATATGCCAGACAGCCTTACGGTCCTTGGACTTAGGAGAGTGCATCCAAAAGCTCTGAAGATAAAGGTAGTTGGTGTAAGGCGCAGCAACAAATAAGAACGCACATTTCCCCTGATTTTGGTCCATCAAAGAACGTTCAGGTACATCCTTGAGCGAAGCAACCACTGCGAAACATGAATTTCATTAGGAAAATAGTCGACACCGCAAGGGTCGTCAGGCTTACAAGCTATCAGAGCAGAGGAAGCGAGAGGTGGTTCAGACATCGTCAGACCCCACCAATATCTGTCACTATCCTCGCTGCTTCGATCACTCGACCGGTTGTTATATATGGACGGGATTTTGCAAAAGGATCATTGGGAAAATAAGGCACACCGCAAAGAAATTCTGTGCTGCGGTTGCGGAGGTTGCTGCTGGGAAGAGAGGGGTGCTGCGTCGACCGTGTTAGCGATCCTCTTGACGCGCAAGACGCGAAAGATGAGAACGGAGTGGAAGAGGAGGTCTGAGGAATCCCGAGACTGGGTCGGCTGGACGAGGACTGGATTTCTGGCATTGTGCTGAGGGACGCGTAGGTAGAGGAAGAGCACTCTGTTGCGGAGGGAGGGGCGAATGGCAGGCGCCGCAGTGACGTACAACAGACGCCTATGACGTGCATGCGTAGTGTTATTTATTTTACGATTGGCCGACTGACTTCGACCAGCCGCTCTGGCAGGACTATGCTCTAGCAGCTCAAGGAACAATGGAAGTCTGCTGCCACACACGATCCCTTTGCTCAGGAATACCCGCCGGTGAGTCCCCCTCTGCGGACAAGACATCATCGGAGACCTTTTAGTGGTATAGACTTATCCCTCGTGTCTGGTGTCGATGGCCGGTGAAGAGGTGGCAGACGAGGACACAGGTAGCGGTCTGCAACCTAACGCGCGGATGATCTATGACGAGATAAATCTAGGAAGTGTAGCAGGCACCATAAGTATGGTGGCCGAAAATAACGCTGGGGTAACCTGATCACTCTCAGTTAGCTAAGGATCGACGACGGATTTAGATATCTCTGAGTAACTAAGATTAGTTATAAATATAGCTAATAGCCGAAGGTATGAATGTCAAGGTACGGATACTTACACTCGCAGCGCACGTTCTTGTTTGTGCAACTGCTCGATATCGCCTATGACTACGTTGGAAATGGTTGCTATGAGGTGGGGATGTTGTTCACGTGCCGGTCGCACGTGGCAATGACTGACCACCGCCACCACAAAAATAAATTATTGTTAATGAGGCACTAGCCATTTGCGCCTTCAACGTCACGCCCACACATAGTCCCTCGCCGGTCCTTATATCAAACTGGTAAGGGGCCTTTATATCTGACTGTTACATATTTATCTCCGAACACACACTCTCAATGTTCGCATCTTTGGAACCGCATGCATTTAGATGACCGAGTTAATGGCTTCATCAACCGAGGATTCTGAATACTAACATGACCATCCAAACATTGAATACCTTCCTTAGAAAAATATGCATCGAATCGACGCCGAACCAAACATTCACTGTTGCCAAAACCTGGCGGCCACTATACCCCCTCGCACACGGCCTTCGCGGATACATCCGTGCTATGGTGATAATTCTATGTAAATACAAGCCTACTACGCAAGGGCTGCAGTAAACACTCCAGAATGCTGCTGTCAGAGCCCCTTGCTCGTGTGCCATGGTTCAAGTCGTAGTTCGAGTAAGCTGTCACGCTTAGTCGTCTGCCTTGATTGGTTGATTGCGGAAGCCCGACCTATAGGGATTTGTCAAAGGCCACATGTAACGGCGCGGAAGGTCGTGATATTACCACAGGTGAGTGGATCCCATCACACGCGCGGGATAGGTTGGTCGTTCTGATTGGCAATGCATATAGCCGGAAGGCGTAATTTTTGTGTTCAAATATGGGCCGGTGTTTCCAACGTTCTTGGGATGATCGGTCTGATAACCAGTCGTGTGCCACACTCCCACACGTTCGCATCTACTGTGCATAATGATCATTCACCCACGAGTCCGACGAACGTATTCTACTCTGGGAGAGGCCGAGAGGTACTGCTCGTCGGGCCCCGGGCACAGTGGTCGTTGGCGTTTGGTTCACTTTGAAGCTACTTCCTCTCTGAGTGATCCTCCAGGCTCCTCTCCTTACAAACGTGCGTTTGGATAAAAGGGTCTTCCACGTACTGGTGATTTGCAACCTTCGGGGCATATGAGGGCTCCCGTATATATACAGCTCCTGCAAGCTGGTGTCAACTTGCAATCGCCTCTAACTTGAAGATGCGTTCTTTGGGCGTCTCCTTGCTTTTCATTGCTGGCGCTTCCGCCATTGTTGATAAGTTCAACAATAATCTTGTCTTTCGCTCGCCTTACTTTGACGAACCCCAGGTGTGTTTATCATTTATATTGTTGTTCGCCCCGGTGATGATTCTGACTGGTGAACAGTTTGGACATGATACCGTCGCTCTGAGTCGCAGGACCCTGGAGTTCGCTAAGAGGGACCAAGTTCCCGCCGACGGTTTTAAGGATGGGAAATATCCAGGTTTCTACGTCTCTAATCTCAGCAACGTAAGCACCTACAGCTATAGGAGTGTTTGACAGCCCCAATACTCACCGATCTGACCCAAGGCCCCCTTCATCTGGAGCTCCGGAGTCAATTTCACCCACTCCGGTACGTACCTCTCTCAATAGAGCATTGGAGCAGTCCCTGACTTGTCTTTCCTGTGGTTCAGTCGCTAGCGTATGTTTGAACAAAACCCATAACTCCTGATGAGGCTGATAATAGGCTTTCAGGGTGACCCATATGACACTTCGGTGATCCTGTGGACCCGCGCCGTTCCTCTGCCCAGTAGTACTGGTCAATTGCCAGACCAGAGCGTGCCGATCTGTGTTGTTTACAAGGTCTTCACCAAGAGTGATCTCTCGGGCAGACCTGTCGACTCTGGGGAGGCTTTCACGAGCTATGATGTCGACTGGACGGTTAAGGTCGAGGCCGCCAGGCTGAAGCCCGACACCAAGTACTACTTCCAGTTCGCCGATTGTGCCAACCCTAGCGGCGTCAGTCCTGTTGGATCCACCAGGACTGTAGCTAGCAGCAATAGTAAAGTCTTCTCTTCTGCAGAGAGGCAATGACGGTGTTCTAACTTGATTGGTTTTAGCCCCTGCTGATAAAGTCAATGGTGGCAAACCCATGACCCTCGCTGTCTTCTCATGTTCTCAGTATCAGGCTGGTTAGTAATTTTTGTATTTTTGGCGTGAACCTTCCTGAACGCCAATGATTAGGTTATTTCAACGCCTATGGCTATGCCGCACAGAACGTCACGGCCGATATCTTTATTCACCTCGGAGACTACGTAAGTAAATCGCTACAAGTTTCTTGCATATTTGCTGACCGCCAAATAGATTTACGAGTCTGTTGGAAACGGGTATGTGGCATTCTTTTACAAGATTGTTCTGCACCGTCTCACATTACCTGAAGTGCTAAGATCGGCCGTGCTGTCGAAGGCAGGGAATTGGCCACCATTCATGATTACAGGCAACGTCTCGGCCAGTACAGGTCGGATCTCGATCTGCAATATGCCCACCAAACTGCCCCCTGGGTCGTCGTATGGTGGGTCACCATCTTTCTTTTGCTTTCTGCGGAGTATTGTCTGACGGTTTCTCTTTTATTCGCAGGGTGCGTCATATATTCACAGCATTCGGTCCAGGTTATAATAACTCGTTTTATTGAATATCTCGGCTCTAGGATGACCACGAGGTTAGTAATTTATGTATACATGAATGCGTCTGAGCTCATTCTACTCTAGATTGCTGACAACGCCTGGAAAGCCGGCACCGCCGACTCCAATGACACAGCTCAGGGATGCACTTTCTCCCCTTCTGGCGCCTGCTTCACAGACAGGAAACTTGCCGGTACACGTGCTTACCACGAGTGGATGCCAATCCGTCAACTAGACGCCAGGGATCAGCTGCGCATCTGGAGGAATTTCCAGGTTGGCAAGCTTTTCGATCTCTCCATGCTTGATACCCGTAAGTGACCGGCACATAGCGAAATGTAAGAGCGTCCTAAATCACTCCCACACAGGTCAATACGAGCGCGACATCACAGATGTACGTACCTCTCTCTATTGTGCACTATGATACCGAAAAAGGCTGACTTTCCTGATGTAGATCTATTACAATCGGCGTAAGTTATAGACCCAATTTAATACAGCAGCATCATCTAAAAATAACCTCCCCTCGCTTCCTCTGCTCTGATAGCTTGTAAGTCTGACGGTCCTTGTAGCGTCGACTATTTTTCTAATGAGGTTCATGTTTCGCAGTGATTGCTTCGCTCAAGGATGCACCTCAACGGTCTTTGATGGGCCATAACCAGGAGAAATGTGTGTTCTTGATTCTGATGCCGTGCCTCATACTAATTACCTTTATCTTCAGGGCTTTTGGACACGCTCTCTAAGTCTAAGGACCGTAAGGCTGTCTGGCGTATCATTGGGTGGGTGTTTGCATACCACCTGGAACGGTGCATATCTGAATATTTTGTGCAGCCAACAGATTGTCTTCACTCAGGTCGTAGACCTGTCCGGAGGTGAGTTGCAACGTCCTACAATCAAATTTAATCGCTGACATTTCTTCAATCTAGGCATCAACTTAGTGAGAGATCGTACTTCGGTATTTGGCTCTCAGCTACATCTAACGGTGTACGATCTAGGATGCTTGGGATGGCTACCGCGCGAACCGTAATCGCATCCTCGATCACCTTTACAACAACCAAATTAACAACAACATTA